AAGTAAAACTCCGACGAAGATGATATCTCGAAAGCGTTCGTTTCCACCTTTATAAAACGTAGAGAATTTATCACTTTGTAAAGCAATAGCGCACTGTCCTAACATAATAAAATATGGATCAGACGAATAAAAAGCCTACCTCTCTAATTATATGACAAATTTTCTAAAGTAAGAAAAATTGTGGAATAGTTTTTCAGAGCCTTTCATTCCAAGATTTTTCTGGGTCTCGAAACATACTACAAATCAAACTTTTTTATATATTTCTCCCCTATACACTTCGTATTTTCTAACAAATGAAACATCAAGATTCTACGACAATCTCTCACAAACTTCTTTAAAAAACTAGATTAATGTAAAACTTTTCCCAACCTGTTATCACAATCACCTTTGCGAAATAGAAAAAGAATTTCTGGAGAAAAAAAACCAAACTTACCAATATCGTTTAAGGAAAATAATTTTCAGAATCTATTCATTCGTTTCCCTATCTCTTGTTCAGTTTGCTTTGTTTGCTGATTGTTCACTCAATAGTCCTACATGTAGCACACAATTATCTTCGTTGAACATAAGAACAGGTGAGAAAAGAAAAGCTTCGTCCAAGTAAGATACATTTTCAGACAATAACAAATCAGTATTTAAATATATATATATAGATATTGAATCAAGTTCTTGTTCAGGTCAAAGTCAAAACATCAAAGCTCTGAAAACTGTTGCTAATAGCTCAAGGGCATTAGTACTTAGTTCTACAGTGAAAGCTCATAGGTTGCTTATAAACGGTAGAAATCTTGATCACAAAATTGAAGGTATATCTTAGGCCTATAAAATATCTCTGTATTGCTTAACACATCAACTCATCAATAGTTCACTCATTTGAACTCATTTTTTGATGATAGATACATCAACTTGATACATATGAACAGTAAAAATTTCAAGTCAAACGGATGTTGTTTTGGTAAGATATAGATCTCACAAAAAAATCATCAAAAGTGCTTTTTGTTGTCGATAGTACTCTTCGAGAAATTTTTAATATCTCAAGAACGGAGCAATATATTTTCAAACGGCTTACGTCAAAATTCATGAACCTTTGTTCTGTATAAGAATATCTTAATTTGAGGAGAATCTGATGATCACGACTGAGCAGCTTATCTGGAAATGAATCCCAATTTTTACCCAAATCAGATCATATATATACACCAGAAAAGGTTTTTGTTCGGGTCAAAATCAAAACATCAAGGTTTTGAAAACTGTTTCTAATAGCTACAGGACAGTAGTACTTAGTTCCAAAGCGGAAGCTCATAACTCGCTCATAAGCGATATAAATCCTGATCACAATGTAGAGCATATATCTAGAACCTATGAAATACCTCTATACCGCTTAACGAGTAAAAAAATGTTTTTGATTGTGTCAATCTGTAGGATACTAAGGGTAGTATATGTCCTTAAAGTTTCATGCTAAAAAACATCATGGTTAAAAAATGGCGAAGTATACACTGAGTGGATACTACATTGGTTATCGTCATTTTTTAGCTGAGTGTGCCTCCATTGTTATTTCAATATCTCAAGAAGGGAACGGTTTTAGAAGCTGAAATTTTAGACATTTTCATATATCACTTGGGTCTACATATAGGCAAAATTTCATTGAAATCCGTAAGATCAATTGAGCACAGTTGGTCGTGACTATCGTGCAATGGCTCCTAGGGGAATTTTTTGAAAAAAGTTTTTTTTTTTTTGGCTTTGTAAGGATATTTCGATATAGGGTAATAGAGAATTAAATGCTGATTTTTACTACATAAAATTTATATCACATAGTAGAATTCTTGGAGGAATTTTGAACTGCACTCAAGTAGATTTCCCATAGAAAAGGCTCATTTTTTTGTATTTTGCAATGAGTTCCCTGGGGCCATTTTTGGAGATTTCACGCTAATTTTTTTACAGGATTGTAGCCCAAAGAGAGTACTTCAAAGTTCTAATAACCAGTATCCCCAACAATCCATATCTTTGGAGAAAGTCTATCCTGAAAGTGCCCACATTTATCAAAATTTCGTTTTTCACGGAACTGTCCTGAGCAAATGGAACAGTATGAATAGCTGAAATTTTCCGAAGAGCTACACCTCTCAGTGTCCTATCAACAGTGAAAATTTCAGACCTCTACGTTATTCCTACAAAAAGTTATGAGGTGCCAAAGTTACCGAAAATGGACGTTTTTTCATGTATTGAGTACTTCATAAAATTTCAATGGTTCAATATTTTAAAGCGAGAATTTTATGATAAATAGAATTTACTGAGATATATGACAATAAAAAATTTCAGCTCATTTAGTTGAGCAGTTCGTGAGATATCGTTGTATTAGGACCCCCATTTATATATAGGGTCATTTTTAGGCCTTTTCGTAAAATACTCATAAAACACCAAGGGATCAATATTTTTTGAATCGGCTTGCGTCAAAATTCATAAAACTCTTATCTCTACAACATATCTTAAATTAAGCAAAATCTGATGACATCGATTGAGCAGGGTTTCTATGAAGTCGGTGGCGGCTTATATGGACTGGCTCATATGTAATTTAATCATAAAAAACGATTTATTGTTAACAATAATAATTATTTTTCAGATAAGAATGTTTTGACTTTTATACTTATGGAACTATTAAATTAAACTTTCTCTTTTGATATTTTAACAGGTAATTTCTGTTTAAGAAAACTTTTGTAATCGATTTTTTAAAAATATTCTGCAACATTTTTCTTGCTTTTAGATAATTGTTTTCATTATTAGGAAAAAAAATCTCTTTTTATTACAGTTAACGAAAAAATGAACATTGTTTTTATTATAGTTAAGAAATAAATGAACTTTTTTTTATTACATTTAAGAAAAAATATGAATTTTTTTTTATTACATTTAAGAAAAAATATGAACTTTTTTTTATTACAGTTTAGAAAAAATATGAGCTTATTTTTATTATCTTATATAGGAAAAAATATGAGCTTATTTTTATTATCTTATATAGGAAAAAAAAGAGTTATTGAATATTAAAAATTTGTTTGAATAACATTTCTTTCCCAAATATTATAAAAAGTAGTGCAAAACCTATAGGAAAGAGACATGTAGAGAATAGAAAGAAAGTACTGTAGATGTAATGGAACACAATCTTCTGATTACATCGTGGATAAAAATATTGTATAATACGTTCACAAATATTAACAGTCACTTCGCTCGAGAATATACCAATGAATGTTGTTAAAAATAAACCAAATGGAAATTGTATCAACGAATCAAGTAGAATACTATGTAATATCATATAAATATAAAGACACGCATCATATGATATTTTTAAAAACCGTCGATAACGTGATACAAATCTTTGTTGTACACGTTGAGCCGGAGTCAAAGGTATTTTTGCTTTGAATGTATAAGTTTTCCTTAACATTATTCTTAAACTTGTCATGAAAAGAATAACGAAATATTGTGTAATAAACCACATACATCGAATAATACAGGGTACTTTATAAATCATGCTCATAACTGCTTCTTGCGATTCCTAAAATAAAAAAAAAAAATTATTTTTAAGTTTGAACTAAGAAAAAGAAATTGACCTACCATTATTTCGTCTTATTAAGGACAATGGATATACTATTCTCTTATATACTAGTCACAATACAATAGCATCGTTTATTCTATTTTTTCTTTCAAAGGAAAGATAGAATAATCGATTCTATTGCATGATGACTAATAAAGCACCACACTAGTCCTTTCTTAATATATGTTGCTGATTTGTTATCCTTATTTTAATCGATTATGTTCTATACATTATTAATTCGTCAGGAAAATGTTAAAACATAGTATATAAAAATCTCGAAAATCAATATATCGAAGAAGTAAAATCTTCAAAAATTAGCAATATCAAAAAAAAAATCGGATGTGCAAAAAGTTTAAATATAAGAATGTCGAAAAGAAAAATCAAAAATGTTTGATATAGAATAAGATTGTTGGAAATTTTTCAATACTTGACGTTCTATGAAATGTACTGAGTTAAATAGAAAAAAATTTAGATTTTTTTTTTATCGAAGTTGCTATGTACACACATATGCACATAGGCGACCGACTATGTACATATATATCTACATAGTCATTCGAATAGTTAAGTATTCTATAGTTTTGAGCAAATAATCTTATAAGTCATATATCTCAGAACATAATTCAAGATAGGTGATCCAAGAAAAGCACTAGTCGTCAACTAAATAAATCAAAAAACGAGTGTTGAAAGATTATTTGGGGTGTAACATGAATAAATTCTGGAGTAGTTTTCTCTGACTCGAGACCATAACTGGGATCGCAACCAAAAAAAAAACAATTGGTCGCACACATTTCTATTCAGTATACTCTGTAGTACTCAGCAGAACGACATAGTACTGAGCACTACGAATTGTACCAAATATTCCTAGAAAAAAGGCTCTTTATTAGGATTAAAGAAGTAAATTTTCATCCTCTCCGAAATGCCATTCGTTCTGCATCCATTTCATAAGAATTTCTAATTAAGAAAAAAAAAGAAAAGAATCTATTTACTTATGAATAAGAATATTAAGTACTTCAGGAGCTTTTAAATCCAAATAAGTCGAATCGAACTCTGTAATATTTGCAATGATTGCTTCTAAACATTCCATTTTAAAATCTTCATACAAATTTATAAACCAAATATGAATTTATTTAAAACACTAAAATAAAAAAACAAAAAAGAAGACTAGGTTTTTCTTTTCGAAATAAAATTTTCTACGTTTTATCAATAATTTCTGGATAATATTTTTGTAATGAATAAATACATGTTACATATGTATCTTGTATAGCTTGACCACTATGCCATTTTAATATAAAACTTAATTGCTGTAATAAACGTTCATTTGATTGATCCTTAAATTTTTTAAATTTAACAATATTTTTAATAATGTTTTATTAAATTTATCTTTAGTTAAATCATTTGTTTCATTGTCAGGTAAGATATTATTAGCTAATTATATTCCAATTAATGATAAACATATGGCATTGTGTTTTGATTTAATATCTTCATCAGATATTAATTTATATAGAATTAATGTTCGTGCATGTATACGTTCATTCCATGATTCAATTAAACTCTTAATTAAATCTAAATTTGATTTCATAGCAAGAGAATTTTTATGTGTAAAAATAAGAAAAAAAAATTCTAAAAGACGTTGTACTGATGTTCTATCAAGTTCACTTGGTATAGCTATTGAATTCCGTGATAATAATATAACAGTTTTATCAATAAGAAATATATTTAAACCTGAAAATTTTTCAAACATTTGATTATACATATGAATTATTGATGTTAACCAATAACGTGCATAAAGTTTTGAATATAGTATGTGTATGTGTAATAATACGCATGATAATTAATTTTATATTAAATGCTATAGTTGTATTACTAAGTTTTTTATATACACAAATCATCCAAGGTGGCATATCAGATTGAACAGTTGTTATATTATATCATTTACTTCCAGATGTTTAAGTAAACAAATCATAAGTACTATACATGAATGTAAATTAAGTTCATGCATTTCGATTTCAATAAAACTTGCTCCAAAATCATTATCTGTACCTTCGATTAATGCTAATCTATCATCATTTTTTTTATGTAAAGAAATTTCAATGGAATTTTCTGAAAGAAAATTTAATTGACCTTTATTTAAATGATTTTGTTGTTGACTAGCAGCAACTGATGTAAAATCAAAAATAGCCATATTTTGTTAATTCTTTTCCATCTATAGTTGAATCAATTTTAATAACTGTTATTGGCAATTTAATATTTAATATTTTTCTTGCTTTTTAACTTTTTCATAAAAAGTTTTTTGCAATTGAAAAACTTAAACCAAAAACATCATCTTTATTTTATATTGTATAAATATTATCAATAAAACAATATGTAAAAACTTTATTAATTAAAATTGATTTTGTTGTTGATGTTAAGTCAATTTTAATATGAACTTGTTTAATAATCAATGATGATATATTTTTTTTAATAAAATTCTATTAATGTATTTTTTTTAAACCGATGTTAACATTTTTAATATAAATATTTCTAATGCATTAAAATGATGTTCAACACGAAATAATGAATTTTGTCCAAATAATATTGAATAAACATCATTAAGTAAATTCATTTGTTTATTATGATCATTTAATTTAATTATAAAACGATTTATTGATGAAAGTATTTCATTTTCAAATATATGACTTTGTTCACAACATAATATTCATATTAATAATTCAAATAATATAAATCATAATTATAATTCAAGTGCAGATAAAATTTTTCTTAATGCATCTTGATAATCATGATATTCTTGTGTATCTTTATGAAATTCTATACTCTTTAATAAAAATAAATCAGCAGTACATGTATGCATTGTCCGGCAAAGATCATCGGACTACTTTTTAATGTTTTTCTTCAGATGACTCATCATGTGTATCAAATGAAGCAAAAAAATAGTAATAAATCTAATAAACGTGTTTTAAATGTTAAATTTAATTGTTTATTAATTAATATTGATAGATACATTTGAGATATATAATCAAATTGTTTCATGAGATATTAACAAACGACTGTTGATAATAAAAGTTTTGGTTAATAAAATTACAATTATCATTGAGATTTATTGAAAGAGATAAAAAAGAAAATAATGGGCGACAAGTGCAGATTCCATCAACAAATTGACAGCCATATTATTGACAAAGATCTTTTTCTTGACTACATAAATCAAGAACAATAGTAAAAAAAGAAACAATGGATTGACATTGATCAATAATTTTTATTTTACCGATATTATTCATAATAAAATGAGGAGTAGTATCAAGCCAACTGATTATTTGATGTTTAAATTATGTTAATAGATAGATATCGATGGTAGACATACTGGAATCGATATAAATACGATTTGATTAAAAGAAATATAGTAAAACTTCATTTGACTAGAAAATAACGAAAATTTGGTGTTGTTCGATGAGAAAATTAATTTACCTCAATATCTAAGTAAATAATGATATCATCAAAGAAGGTAGTGAGAGTGTCGGTGTCTATTTTATTTTAAACTACACTCACATCCCCATTACCCTCTATAACATATTTTAAAAAAATTAGCGAATGCTGAGATATATATCTATCGTCGATCTGACGAAATATTATTTCAACTATTTGAATCTTTTTTTTCCGATATGTCTTATTTATTACTATTCAGAAATGAAAAAACCTCAAAAATACATTGTTTCAAAAATGTTTCACCTTCATTTTGCTATAAGAAACAAAGAATTTCGTTAGAAAAAGCAGTAAACTTTAAAGATTGTTTAGACCAATCAATTATCAAATGATTTGTTTCATAAAACTCATCAGATCATTCGTTGTATGTAGAAGAATGATTATGTCTAGTAAGATAATCTCTTGATTAAAAAAAAACAACAAACAAATAGAATATGAAAATGAAAAATCTAACAAATGCATTATCTTTTTTGCAATTTTAAAATCTTAGCCTCTCTAATATTGGATAAGTAAATATTTTAAGTCAACACTAAATGAATATTAAATATAAAATTCACCTGCTGATTTCATATGTGTTACTTCAACAGCATACTTATGTCGTAGTTCAGGTTCGATAACAGGTGGACAATATGGTAAATTTTCTATATCAAACAAAGCAAAAAAAAGTTAAAGATTAAATTAATTCGTTAATAAGATTGATTTTGGTTCTAATATATCCAAATCAAATAAAGCTATTAGCTTGACAGTATGATGTTTTTAGAAGATCTTTGTCAAACAAAAATTAAAAGAATAGTTCATTCAGTAAGTTACAAACATGTTTACATCTAGAGCCATGTTTTTCAAGCCTTAATTTTTATACTGAGAAACAGATAAACTAGTTCAGCACTTCAAATAACGTTCTGAAAAGGAAGTTTAGTATCCAAAAAGTACGTCTTGTTTTTTTAATTAAATTTTAACTTAAAGTTCGAACCCTATCAGGTTCTACAACTAAGCTCTTTCTGATCAAAAAAAAAAAAAATTATTAAACGATGAACTGACTTCAAGGAAAATCATTCGAGAATTGTGAAATTTATGATCATAAAAAATTTGTACTGAGACAAAGTAAAAAATAATCATTTTAAACGTAAGATTTGACTGTTTTCATAGAAGTTTACTTTTTTTGAATAATAAGATGCTTATTGATCGTAAATATTGAAATAACAATTCAATCTGTGTTGTCAAGAATATTTGTTGTCGTTCAAGTATATATAAACTCGCTCACTTTTTGCAAAGAATCGAAATCGTGTAAGAATGATTGTCTGTTACTATTCTTTATGATATTAGACTGATATTTTGGGTGCATGATTACGACAATAACTCCTGATCGCAAACATCGACCCGTCCTCGATCGATTCACATAAACAGGAGTTATGATTTATTCATTTCCTTTCTCTTCTAAAAAAATATGTATTAAGCGGAAATATGTATTGAAAACTTTTTTCCTTACCATTTTGCTATTCTACTCATGGAAACTTTCTACTAAAATTTTCAAACGAATTAGTCTCTAAAAAAAAACAGTACTTGCTCTCCAAAAAATATTCTTAATAAGAAGACAATATCTCAGCTATTTTAAAGTGATTTCTAACAGAACTCAAACAAGAGATACCTATAACATTGATCTTTCGAATGAGCCATTAAACAAAAATATTTGTGCCAATATAATTGAAATAAGGTGATTACCAGAGAACGATGATGTTTGCATTATAACTCTGGTCCATGTCAAGAGATCAAAGGTGAATTGGTGCTTGCAATCAGAGTTTATTGTCGTACGCAAGCAATCAAAATATCAACTCAATATCATAAAAGAACAGTAGCACTTCATTAGGAGTGACTAATTTTCTCCAGAACTATATTAAACTAGATCCACGTTGGTTTCTTTCTAATGATGTTTCTAAATGATAAGTATCTTAGCATCTATCGAATGTGATTCAAGACCTGTTTGTATATTTTAGGGATCACCAATTTGATATTTTTCGGCGAACATCAATTCTAAATCTCGAAATTTTGGTTAGAGACAAAAAAAGGGTTAAGATGTTTGCCGATGTTTAACTATTTTTCGAGTGAAAGGAAGAGAAAAAAATGTTTCTAAATTAATTATTAACCTTCATATTCAGGTAGAGAAAGTGGTTCAATATTTGATGTATTAATAATTAGATTATTTATTGGTTGTTTTTGTGGTTGTTCATATCGAACATCAATTGAATTTCTTTCAATAAAAACTGATGATATTGTTTATATTTTATCAGTTTGTTGTTGAGTATAATTTCTTTGAGATTCAATATATTGTTTAATACGTTGATTTTTTTAACCATTTAAATAATTCATTGCATCATTAGCAATACATATATATTCCATATAATTTCAATCAGGTATTGCAATTTTTTTTTGTTTTTAAATTATTGTTCATTGATTGAATTAATTGATGTATTCATATTATATAATATGATAGGTAATTGTGAATCACCAACTCTTTAAAATAAGAGAAAAAAAAAATTTGTTGTTTGTTTTTTGTCTTTTTATTGAAAGAAATGATTTATATACTTTATTATTTGTATTGATGTATTCAATGAATAAAATCGAAATGTTTTAAAACGTTTTCAATCAATAAAACGATGCATTAGATTAATAGCTTCAGGTGACCAATCTTCATTAATTGAATGAATTAAATCTAATGAACATTTTACAAGTTGTGATGGATATATTTGATATTCAGGTATAAGTTCATATGTTGATGATTTTGGTATTGTTACATATTTTCAACAAAATCATAATAAACTACAAGTAGTGTTTTACATGCATAGTCATGATTTATAATTTATACACGATAAAAACGTTGATCACAATTATTTCGTACAACACCAAATGTATTTAATAAAAAATTATTTAAACATACTATATAATCACATGATATACGTTCAAGATATATTTCATTAATACTATGATGAATTTGTTCGAAATTATTTTTCTTAGTTAATTGAATAAAAAAAATGTGATGGTGAAGTTATTGTTTATCAACCAATATTATCATTTAAATTTAAATTAATTGATGGAAGATTACTTGGACGAGAAATTCTACCACATAAATTTGATAAAATTTTACTCTAGAATAATAATAATATATTATATTTCAATTCTCATTCTTATAAAAACTATTAACGCAATTTCTTGTGGAATTTCAATATAAAAGACGACGTAACTGCTCTTACTAATCTACAGGAAGATTATTTTATTCTATTTAAAGACGTGCTTCTTCAAAAATGAAACAAGGAAGTAATTCATATATTAGATTAGAACGAGACGTTATTGATATACGGTCGGATAAGGGGCTACAGCTTGATTGCGGACACTTTTTTCGACCAATCAAGGAAAAATGTCCGCAAAGCAGAATCGGGGGGAGAGAGACAAAAATGACCGCCAAGTGGAAAATGTTCGCAAAGCGGATCCAGGGAGAGACAGGCTTTTACAATTGAACTTCCAGGTATATTGATTGAAGCATTGAACAATTAATGTATACAAATCCATACTTGAGTTCCATTCTTATTTATTCGTTTCATTCCAAAATGATAATTTTCGAAGATTATACCATCCTTGCCACATTGTGTGATAATTGTAGAAAAGCTAGTCTTTCACGATAAACATTTTTATTTAATTCATCTAGTTTTATTTACGTCACTTTATATACTTTCGTTCACAATACATGCTCACAAAATGACCTGGACGACATGTGACGTCTGACAC